TTAAGTATTATTTTAATTATTTTAGTAGCCAATCAATATAAATTACATTTTCTTTGCAATTTTCTTTGCAATTTTCTCATTATCAAATATTATGTATATATACAAATTTACATATATTTTAACTATTATTTTAATTGTTTCAGCAGTCAATCAATATAAATTAATTTTCTTTGCAATTTTATCACATTATCAAAATATATCAAACGTTATATATAATATAATATGTATACCAAATTTATATATATTTTAAATGTTATTTTAATTATTTTAGCAGCCAATATAATATAAATAATGTAATAATCAATATAAATTACATTTTATTTGCAATTTTATCAATATATATTAAATATTATATATATGTGTATATATATATATTNTTAAGTATTATTTTAATTATTTTAGTAGCCAATCAATATAAATTACATTTTCTTTGCAATTTTATATATCAAAATATATCAAATATGTATATATTGCATATTGCATAATTATAATTTATAATTTTTGTATAATTATGTTATAATTTATAAATTTATATATTTTTTAAGTATTATTTTAATTGTTTCAGCAATTAATCAATATAAATCACATTTTCTGAAAATTATTTACATCACAATTATTTACGGATTTTTTCATTATTTAAACTTTCATCTGATAAATTATTACAAAATTAATCAATATAGTAAGTAATAGTAATTTAATAATAATTTAATTGATTTATTAATCAAAAATTTATACAATAAAGAATTTTTTAAACATTAAAACTAATTGAAATTGTATTTTTGTTACAGATGTTAAGAAAACTGTTAAGAAAACGATACGTTTTTTCTATTGGACGAAGTTACAAGCATGGATTGGACTTACAAGGGAAGGCAGAAGAAAGTCGAAGGCTTACATGGGGGGCTTCCGCGCGAAATCAAGATCTTGGTTTTAAGGTGGGGACACCGGGGTAATGGCGTGTGCATTATTCTGATAAATCGACTCGACTGGCGTCAAACCTGACTCTGCCCTGACTTGGTCAATCGTATCTACTTCTACGCAAGACGGTCGCATTCGATCCTTCAAGGGAACGTTCCCAGGGAAAAATAATGTTAAAATTTCGAAGCCAATGATCATTCATTCTTCCATTCGTCGAATATTAAATATGTTTCCTATATTTGCAAATATTCGTCAATAGTAAAAGAAACATTCGCTGTTTCGCACGTACTAATGGCTACAGATCGCAATCTTCCTTTTTATTTTCTAGTATTCCTGGAGTTGTCGATCTAATCGTTTGCACATTTGTATTATTTTACGAAAAATACGTGTATACGTTCTTAATATCTTTCTTTTCTAATTTTTTCTTTTTCTTTCACATTTATCAAATTTGTCAAAAAAATACAAAAATAACTAACTTTTTTCCACCGTTTATATAAAATATACGGAAACGAAAGTAAAAAATGAATTTGCATAAAAATCAACAAATCTAGCCACAAGACTGATCGGTCAACTACCAAAAATTCAGAGAAAGAATCGAAGACCCATAACACGAGACATCCTCAAATTAATCCAACGCCGATCGCGATCGGTCCGCCTCGAATTTCCGTGGACACTGATTAAGCAACGCGAGCTTCTCCTTAATATCCAGATGCCCGATAAAGACCTTAACCAACGAGTTATCCGCGCGGTCCAGCAGATAGATACGCGGCAAAATATTCGAAACGAATGAGCCGCATCCTCGTGGACACGGCTACCGTGCATTTGTCCGCTCGTTCCTTCGTCTGGATCGTATTAATCCGCCCCTAATGAGCGACCGTCCCTTCCGATCGAAACCGCGTGGAAAGAGAGAGGCTTCGGGTATCATCCTTCGAGCTAGTACCGGAGGGACTGGCTCATTACGGGCACGCCGCGTGTGCTTCGTGACCGGCTCAATATTTAACGCGTCTCGAGGCGTTCCATCACCTTTCGATATCTCGACACCTGGCCGAGAAGATTAGGGGAACGGTCTTGGCTCTCGGGACACCAATCGATGGCTGTTGATTATCGATTCACTTGTACCCTAGCTTGAAGATTGGTTGGCGCTCGATTTGGGGAAAATCGGTATCGGTATGGAGGAATTTTTTTGAAATTTTTTTACGAAAATTAATAATTATAATATCGAATAAGGATAATTCGTGATAAGTTGAAAAATTGGCATTGGATATTTTCAAATTGAAAAAAAAAAAAAAATGGTACCTAAGTTACCATCGACAGGTAATTTTTCTATAAATACAATGTATTAAAAATATCGAGTTAAGAGTGTAAGATAAATAGAAAAAGTGACAAGAAAAAATTTTTTAGGATGAAAGAAACTTGTCCAACGATCAATCGTCGCGCCTCTTCTATCTGATTGCTCCGCTATGAAAAATTCTCTGGAACCGCGGAGCGTTAATTAACCGAAAAGTCACAATTACGTGTATCCACGTAGCGTGCGATAAAAATCCGAATTCCGTCTTGGTGTTATCTGAAGGATCTGTGAGGAAGACTGTAATAAAAGCTCGTGGTTAACAGGCGTATATTGATCTGGACGGTCGGGTCCGTTGATAATTAGTCAATCAATCAACGGCGGCGTTCGTTGTTTTATTGAAATACAGAGTCTCGTTTCGAGGTTCGACGGTTAACAAGCGGCGCACGGTTCATTCATGCCTGCTAATTCCCATCCTGCGTGTTATTTCCTTTTCACGTTCCCTCATCCGGCCACTTTTACGCGTATTACTCCATTAATCGTTCGATTAAACCGGCCGATAACGCCCTCTGGAATGGTTCGCGGACGTACCACCAGTCGGCGCCGTAATTCCCTAGCGCAGCGGTTCCCAATCTAGGGTGCACTATGAATTCTCAAATAATAATAATTTGCTAATTATTATCGGTTAATTTTTTTTAAAAACACAATGTAATGCGCTGCACTACTCGTTGCATTTGTTGTAACACTTCTTTTTGCTTTATTTAGCCAACTTTGCCAAGTATTTATCGAACGGAAGGGGGAGATGCACGAGGAATAGAAGATTGAGAGACACTGTTGTGAACGATTCTCGGACTCGTTGTTGGAAGAGGATCTGCGACCGCCTACCTGGATCATCGATACCGATTTTTCATCCAAGGATACCTTATATTCGCCACGCATGCGGCCATTCGAGACGCGGTGAAACATAGGGACATTTGGACGGACACGAAAATACACTCTTATCGATTCCGCGAAACTCTGAACGATTCCTTGCTTACCCCGAGCCACGTCGATAATTAATTACGAGGATTGAGATTGCACGGATTCGAGACGTTCTTTAACGAAGGCAGATTTGAAGGAAAAGTTGCATCGAGCGTCATCGATTTCCTTCGAAGAATCTCGATCTCGAAATTCAAATAATACTCGAAAAATGATCATATTCCTATATAAAAGAAGAATTCTTTAATTTCCTTTATATTCTTTGCACAGGTAATTCAAAATAATAATTCTTGTCCTCCCTTGCCTAAATAATTTCAATTACACTTGGACAATCTTATGAGAAAATTCTCGAAACCTCTTTCAATTTTTCATCTTTCCAGGAGTGAAGAGAAGCGACAAAAACGAGAGATCAAAGAATTAAAAAAAATCCTCTCAAACTATGTCAAACTATGTCCCAGCCGATTTATCCGATCGCACTTTTAATCGTTCGATCCCATTGGTGGGGATGGTCGCTTGTAGGCGGCCGGTCGAAAATAGTTGCTTGTCGTGAGCGGAAGCAACAAATAATCGGCCGAGGTGTGGACGCAAACCGCGCGTAACGCGGTTTCGGTCGCGCGAGGGAAGACGTAAAAGGACGTGCAAAGTGGATCGAAAGGAGGAGGCGAAATCGCGGAGAGGGAGAGAGAGAGAGAGAAAGAGAGCGAGAGTAGTAAAATAGAGGAAGGCACGTTGGAATGGACGCGCCCCATATAATCTCCGCGATGCGAGCCTTCTCCTCGCCTCGGAGATCATCCCTGAACTGCGTCGAAACAGTCATCGTCTAACTATATATACTTTGTTCTACCAGTAATAACATTTTGTGCCACTGCGATACGCTTTTCCGATTATTCGTTGCCAAACAATCGGTTGAATCGTGAAATCATTTCATCTTTCGAGCGTCGATTGACTTCGTTAGTCAGTTAGAGTGGAATGAATATTCATGTACAAAATGCACGTATAAAAAGATAGGAATAGATTGATTGAATGATGCAGATTTTTTTTGCAAAGGATAATAGTATAATTGAGTGTAATTAGAAATTGATTGAAAAAAGTTTTATTTTTGTTGATTGGAAAATTTAATCGTATCGAGGTTGAAAGGGTTGGTTAATTAATCGAAGAAACGAGATGGATTTGTAACGACTACGCCTATGGTGGTAGTACACTTGTATACACGTTATATATGCGCAGTGCCGAATTCGCAAAGCACAATCCGTATGTCGGACATCGGCACGATTTATCGCGTTGACACGTGTCTCTTACCAAGATGCGTATCGCCCTCTGTGAACGGCCTCTCTTTTAACCACGATTAAAATACATTTTCGAGGATAGAACGACCGAATTTCCGCGGACCACGTCCCCTTCCTACGGTGAAACGTTTAACTCTTTCGCCGTAATTTATAACCGGCCGTGTGATCAGACCGCACCGAGGGCTTTATTAAACGCGAAATAAGGGGAACCGTTAAATCTAGTTTTCACTCTAAAAGAAGGATAAGCTTAATCGTGGGAGAAATGAAAATATTTCGTTGATGGAAAAGTGTGAAAAGTGTTTTGGGATCATTCGTTGATTTTTATCAAAAGTGAGGTTAGGATCTCTTGTACGTCTTTCAGTTTTTAAAATTTTTGGATCTATAATCTTAACGAGTTTTGAGAATTCATTGCATCAATCGAAAAATCTTCTAAAAGAATTCTTAACCAACAAAAAAATATTCATAAAAAATTTCCAACTTTTGACTAATAGTTGTATTTCAAGTATCAAAGTATCCTTAAAAACTTAATCAATTTAACACAACTGCCATTTATATCATTAAAAAAAAAAGATCAATTAATTACAATTAAAATTGTAAGTCAAAAATTAAATATTTCTTTCCTTTCTTTCCAAAGATTGCCCTTTTAGAAAAAAAATAAACTTAATCATGGAAGAAATGAAAATATTTCGTTGATGGAAAAGTGTGAGAAGTGTTTTGGGATCATTCGTTGATTTTTATCAAAATTGAGGTTAGGATCTCTTACGTACGTCTTTCAGTTTTTAAAATTTTTGGATCTATAATCCTAACGTGTTTTGAGAATTCATTGCAAAAATCTTCTAAAAGAATTCTTAACGAACAACAAAATTTTCATAAAAAATTCCCAACTTTTGGTCAGTAATTGTATCTCAAGTGTCAAAGTATCCTTAAAAATTTAATCAATTTAACATAATTATCATTATTATTGTGATTCATATCATTAAAAAAAAGATCAACCAATTAAAATTAAAATTGTAACTCAAAAATTAAATATTTCTTTCCAAAGCTGGATCATCCCTTTCGATTAACTGCACCTTTGCTGGCCCAATTTTTTCCTTTACCGAATCGAAGAAGAAAAGAAAAAAAGAAAAGAAAAGAAAAGAAAAGGGAACAAGGGGCAGAGGGCACGCAAGCTGGGAACGGGATCGCGCGAAGACGAGAGAAGGCTCGTGAAGGCACGCCAGGATATGATTTATATTTCTTTCCAATCGTTCGCATTAAAAATGGTAAATGCTCTTAATGACGGCATTAATAATTGTATTCAACGAACCGCCGGTATTGACCTGAAGACACCCGTTCGAGGCACGCCCGTAGAATACCCTTGTAACGATCTGGTCCGGCATTCATCTGGGCGGAGAGAGATCGTTTGTGAATGAGCGAACATTCAATGGGCACACTTTTGATCTCGGCATTATTAATTATCCGCAAGTAGCTGCCTTTCCAGCCTTTGCTCCCTTTTTCCTAACCGTGTCTTTGACCCCGTGACTCAACCTCGAATTCGCCTCGAAATCGGTTAATCACCATTTTTTCCTTATTACGTATATATATCTTTTCATCAACCTACTTATCGAGATCAGAAGAAGTTTGCACGATTGAAATTTTCAAAATTAGAAATTCTTCCCGAAGAAAGAGGTTAATTTTGTCCCATCCGTTCAACCGAGTATTTCGACAATTATCCTATTCGAAATACACTAGCGATTACACTCTTAAATCATTGTTATTTCCACCAATTTTTATGACATATTTCCAATTATAATAACCAACATATTTCAATTTCAATAATTCTATTACGATTATCGGTATTCAAAGTATAAAAGTTAGATCAACAATTGAATTATAAAACTTTGACGATTAATTCACTATATTTTATTAAAACATCGAAATATAAAAGGTTAGGTAACCTACTTAATATGTAATATACGCATATCTCGATCGATCTCGAAACTCGAAAGAAAAATTCATGGGAGCGGATATGCACGCCCCCTACATTTATATATATATATATAGACGTCCATTTCGAGAGAGGAAAAGAACGCCGTGGGCCAATCGGAAATCGCTCGAATCGCGACCTTTATCGCCTTATTAAAGAGGGCACCACTTCCACGAACGGACGGCAGCGCCTCTTGTTTATCGGCCACTTCGATCAACGGTGCTCTCACGCTCCCTTTCATGGTCTTTAAACAGGCGCACTTAGCATGGCCCGTCATTACTTAACGCGAGTAATAAAGTTGTACCACCAATTAGCCGACGCCATGGAAGCACGCGCATCAACCGTGCGGTAGCCGAGCTTGCGTATCGCTCGGCGATATCTCGTCTCGCTCGTCGTGGATAAAATCGGTAATCCGTGGAATAATCGTTATTACTAAGCACGGACTATGGATCGAACGATAATTTACCCGACTCGTTCGATTTTTTTTTTCTTTTTTTTAGATGGAAAAGAGCGATTTTCGCTGAAACCATTGATAGAGATAATCTTGAGAGAGGATATGACGTCTTGTTTTGTCTAAGGAGAGTTTGCGTGAATTCAGTGAAGGGGAAAATTTAATAGTTGAAGTTACGTCGATAAGTTACCTACGAATAAATGTCGAATAATCGGAACATTTCGATAAGTAATTAAAGCAATTCTGGACTTGATTTTCACCTCTCTTTTCAACAAGAGAAAAGAATATCTGTCTTCGATACGTAAATATCGATTAAATTGCACAAAAGATCTACGTAAAATTGCACTTTTTACGAATCCAAATCCGACACAATGTGGACAGAATC